TTCCCAGCCTCCAGAGCCATGTGAACTAAACGTCTGTTGTTTATCATTTTATTTGACCCAGTCCACGGTGTTTTTGTTACAGCAGCATGATCAGCCCGAGACAGCGCCCAACACGTGTTCGTTGAATCCAGGTTACGGGAGACGCGTATCAAGTTGCCCCAAAGAAGATCATTCCGAATACTTAGAGATGAACCATCATTTCCAGATGGTGTGAGAATGTTAAACAGGCTGAGGTTGCTCAAAAATAGACTGAGCACTCCGGCAGGGACATGTGGGCGTGGTGCTGGGGCCACATGTGCTGCAGGTGGTGTGGGGCCATCGGCAGACAGCCTGACACTCTGATTCCCAACCCCTCCCTTCCCAGGGTCCCTCAGCCCGGCGACGGAGGGGCAGGGATCACCACCCCCACTTGCCACATGGGGGACCGGGCGGGGCTCCCTATCTGTCCTGCTTCCCAGCGAGAACGTTTCTGGGACTCTCCCCGCCGGGCCCTCCTGCCTTCCCCAGGACACGCAGAAGGCCCTGGCAGGCATTGATGAAAATAGTGCACGATTTTCCAGGCTAAAATTACATTTTGAGTCAATTCTCATAAAATGTGGTGACAGATTTAGGTGCTGGGAAGATGGAGCTTTCTCAGAAGGCATAAAATTGACCTAAACGGTTAAAACCAGCTGAAACCAGGCGGCCGGGGCCACGAGAGCAGCTTTCATCCTTCCCGGATAAGCTGGTCTGCAGCCTTGTGCGAAACCACGGCTGGCGGCGCCTGGAGAAACTGCTGTGCCTGCACCTGACCCCGATCACAGCGTCATTATCTCTCGGCCAAGACGCTGGTAACGGAGGGGCCATCCACTCCTGAAGGGCAAAGGACTAGCAGCTGCAGTGGAGGGAACCAGCTCCTATTTATTCGCAAGTGCAGTCTTCCCTCCCCGGGGTAGCTCCGTAGAGACTGATCTGGATCTATCTATCTTTCTTTTTTTAGAGACAGGGTCTCACTATGTTGCCCAGGTTGGTCTCGAACTCCTGGGCCTCAAGAGATCCTCCTACCTCTGCCTTCTGAGTAGCTGGGATTTTTCTTTAAATTCTCCATTCCTGGTGTTTTCCTCTGTGGGTCACACCAAACCAGGAAAGGAAATAGGGCTCCCTCCCATTCTCAGTATACTTAAGTGCACCTTCCCCTCTCTAGAAATAGCTTGAAGCCCATGCCCAAGGGGCGGCCATGTGGCTGAGCTCGGTCACTTTCATCCTGAGTCCAGGCATGGGTCCTGACCAGCTCTCGTAAACAGGGTCAGCCCCCTTGATCTCTAGGAACCCTCATGCTCTGACATTCTGACCCCATGACTCCAGTGGTCCTCAGCCTGACAACCACGAACCCCCTTTTGCTGGCTCTTCCTGTCTCTTGCCAGCCTCACACTCTAAAAGCCAGCCATGCTCATCTGCTCGCTGTCTGTGCTGGATGGTCTCCATTTGCCCCTCTGGTTCCACTCCCAGCCTTGTCCACACTGCTCCATGCCCAGGGAGGCTGACCCAAGTGGATTATATCAATGGTCCCTGGCCACAGGTCTCCTGGTGAGATTCCACCAACAGGAGGCATCGGCAGGAGATGAGAGGGTGGGAAGAGAGTAAAGTTGCTGGGTTGGCTGTGTCCCTTCACTGGGGCCCCTGCTTTTATCTGGAAGCCCCCTTGGGGCTCCAGAAACCCCCTCCTCCCTTACCCAGGCCTGGAGCAGTTATGGCTTCCTGCTGTTACCCGCCATGATTCAACATCCCTCACTGGTTTCCTGAAACTCCACTCACGCCTCATTACGTCTCTCGACAACGCAGGAGCTAGGCTGCCCTGTCCCCCAGCCTCCCTCTGCGCCTGCGCGCATGCCGCCATCTTGCCGCTGGGCCCTTGTGCTGTGTCTGCAAGCTCCACTGAAACCCCGCGTGACTCGGCTGCGCCCCGCGGACACCCCACTGCTCTGGGGTCAGCACCCTCTTTCCATAACCTGAGGCCAGCCCTGCCCCTCTCTGTGGAACGGGGAGCCGGGGCCAGATGACACCCGAAGTTCCTTCCGACCCTCGGCCCCACCGAGCACCCGTTAGGCAGATGGCTTGTGTTTAGATTCAAATTCCATTAAAAAAAATCCAAATGACCCGTCAAAACGCTTTAGCTGAACGTGGCCTTCTGGCTGTAACTCTCCCTTTCGTAAACTCCCATTTTATTCCATCCTCACTTCCCTTCTTGCCGTTTCCGGTGAGGACTGTTCACGCGGCGCCCCTTCCGGGCCGCGAACCCCTCTCTCTGACTCGCACCCGTGGGGAAGCTCGTTCCTCGGACCCTGCTCCCCGCCCCGCGGCGGGCACGCTGCCCCGCACTTCATACCGCTCCGCGCTGCAAATGCCCACTGATGCAGGGAGCCACCAGCAAGACCCAAACCCCTCGCGTGCCGCCTCACAATGAGTGCCATCGCCGAGCGCCGTGCTCCCGGCACTTCCGCTCCGCCATTGTGCTTCACCCACAGGCCTCAAGGCAGGGGCGACCCAGACGACAGGTGTGGGCACAGGTGCAGACAGGTCACGGAACTTGCTCCAGGCCCCACCGCCAGAGACGGCCGGAGCCTGGAGCCCACACAGGTGCACCCAGGCCAAGTCCACCGCCGTCCTGCGCCCACCCGCGGTGGGTACGCTCCGCACCAGGAAGCGGCTCGGCCAATCGGGGACCCCAACCAAATGGAGGCGAGTCTCAATTACAGCACGCAGTCAGCGGCTCGCGCGGCGCCCCTCTGAAGAGGCCCTTCCAGACTTCCCTTAATGAATCACCCAGACATCAGCACGTTCCTGGTTTCTATGAAGCGCAGCCAAAAGGCCTCAAAAGTAATTAGTTCGCTTAAGTAGGCTAAACGTTCCCCTAGCAATCTGCTTTACGCGTTAATTGTTTTAGAGTCTTGGAGAGGGTGAAGAAGTAAACTTTCGCCCAGCCCCTGTGGAAATAGTCTCACGTGTTAGATGGATGGAAATTCGCCCCCTTCAGCTTCTCGGTGGGGGTGGAGCCGGGCGGGGCGTCCCAGCCAGTCCACCCACCAGGCAGGCAGGTTCGTGAAATGAAGTCTGAGTCACCTGGGAGGGCCTCCCCGCCAGGCCGGCTCCCAGCATTGGTCATCTTGTGCACTGTCTCCCTTCCTGCCCCTTCCCCTGAACCCTGGGCACAGGCCTGCGTCCTCTTAGCCACTGGGGCGTCCCTCTCTTGGTGGAGGGAGACCCCACACAGGTCGCCACCTGCAGCCCACAGCCTCCCTCCCAGTGTGGGTGGAGATGGGCACAGGGTGAGGCTGCCAAGGCCAACAGGGCCACAGCCTCCCGCAAACCCCTGGTCCCATTGTTGCACCTCTTCTCATTGCCAGGCCCAGGCTCAATCTCCAGCCAGCTCGGGCCGCTCTGAAGGCCACGGACGGCAGCTTCAGCCCCGAGGCCCAGCGGGGTCCCCCCACTCCCCACCACGGAAGGGACAACAGTCTTTCCCCCAGACTTCAGTTTCTCCTTGCTCAGCCAGACTCTCTTCTCCAAGAGAAAGGAGATACAGCCTTTGCTGTTCAAACAGGAGCCAAGGGCTACCAGGACCCCTCATCCTGAGCCTGCCCCCCACCCCCGCTTTCCTGACTGCACCTGGAAACCCTGCCCCAGGAGCTCAGGAGCTCAGCGAGGGAGGCCTGGGGCAGAGGTCCGGATGGACGCAACAGCCGGCATGCCCTTGCCAGCCTCTGCAGGGCCAGCTCCCTCTCCTAATCCTTTTATTCCTTAACAATCTACTTAACCATTCCTTAACAACCATTTATTAAGCACCTACTGTGTGCTGGGCACTATTCTCAGTGCTCAGAATATAGCAGTAAATAAAGCTGATGAAAATCCCGGCCCTCAGGGAGTGACACGTGACAGCAAGATGAATAAATAAACCAGAGCACAGTGGATGGTGAACAGTGACACAGAGAAAATGAAAAGCAGGGAAGGGGAGTTGGAGGGCTGGGAGAGGTTGGAATGTTAGATTGGGTGGCGGGGAGGCCTCCCCAGGCTGATGTCTGAGTCAAGGTCTGACGGCAGTGGTGGAAGAGCCACATGGGCATGTGGGAAAAGAGTATTCCTGGAAGAAGGAACAGCCAGTGCAAAAGCCCTGAGGCTAGAATGGAGAGCTGGGTGGGCCGAGCAGTGGGAGGTCACAGTATGTGGGGCCTGGGGGGTCATCCCAGGGACTGTGGTTTTGTAAGATGGGAGCTACTGGAGGGCTCTGAGCAGAGGAGGGACAGAATTTGACTTGGGTTTTAACAGGAAGCCCCTGGCTGCAGGGTGCCGGAACAGACTGAGGGGCTCCAGGAGGCCCCATTCACCTGCAAATGGCTTCTTGGGAGTGGGCCTTTCAAGTCTGCCCTTCCTCACCCTCCCTCCCACAGGGACAAAGGGCACAGGGAGTGGGAGTGTGGGCAAGGGGAATGAGAGAAGGCTGGAAAGTGGCCATGCTGGGATGAGGTGGGTTTGGAAGCCAGGCTAAGGCGTTGGAACTCAGTTCAAAGCAGAGGGAGCCGTCGCAGGTTTCTGCACAGGAAACCACCTAACTGAAGCCCTGCTCGCCTCAGTCAGAAATCACGGGAAGGAAGGCTGCGGTGGACAAGACATGGTGCTAGAAGCTATACGTGTGCCCATGGCCACCAGACAAGGAGGTCTTAACAGGCCTGGGGTTCCTCTGTCTCCACCTGAGACTGGGCTCCCCAAGGGCAGGGCTGTGTCTCCCCTCAGACTGGGGCTCCCTGAGGGCAGGAGCCATCTCTTCCCCCTTCAGTCCGTCCCTATAACAGCAGAGACAATATCCACCTTTGCACACCTTGGTAGCCTTAAGCGGAGCTAAGTGCTGCAGTAAGACACACGACAGGGAGCTCACTCCAGAGTTAGAGGTGGACAGACAGACAGACAGGCAGACAGGTAGTCAGGGACAGGCTGGAGTTTCTGGCATGGGGAGGGGCTGTACCTACCTCCCGCCACTGCTTGTTCTCCATGCCTTGGGTGTACATGACGCACACTGCGGGGAGAGGAGAAAAGTGGGTTAACACCCAGGCCAAGAGGAAGGTGGAGGCCCCAGGTGAGAGGGTCCTGGGTAGGCAGGTGCCTCAGAGACTCCAGCCTGGGTAGCACTACTGGGCCTGGGTGGGGTGGATGATAGGGTGTCTCCCAAGGTGGCCGGGGTCGTGGTGAGTGGGTCTACGGGTCTAGCCCCCAAGGGTTCTAGATGCATCAATTCCGAGTAGTGGGCTTGGAGAAGGGGGCCCAGAGCACAGGTGTGTCCAGAAGGGGCACCTTCTGGGAGGAGGGTCGGGGCCATTCACTTCTAGGCCAGAGCAAGGGTCTCAAGTGTGAAGTAGGATGGAGGACAGGGTGGCAGAGATGTGACAGGGATAGCCTGGGAAACCCCCACTGTTCCTATATAGCCAAAAGCAGTCTCATGAGGCCTATTATTATCATCAGCCCCACTTTACTGATGGGGAAACTGAGGCTTAGAGGAAGCCAAAGACCTGTCCAAGGTCACACACTTGGGTGGCACTGCTCCAGGCTAAAACCCTGGACTCCAAAATCAGTGCTCGTCCTCCCCAGACCACAGCCAATCACAGCTCTTAAATGTAGGGGTTTCCCTGGGACTGAGACTGTCTGGCCCCAGACACCCCAACCTGCTCCGTCGTGTTGAGGCTTCCCAAGTGTGGAAGCTGGGAAGGGTCACCCCCCAGTTCTCTCTGTCCAGACACTACTGGTGAGCATGAAGCAGGCTCGATGCTCTTGGAACAGAGAGCCTGGCGTCTAGTTAGTGCTCAGCAAGGGTTCGCTGCTATGATTAGTCATGACGTTGTTGCTGTCGTCATCACTGTGTTTATTCTCAGAGCAGGACTTACGTGGGTCAGACTTGGAAAACATGTCTTTGTCCAGGAGGTTCCTGAAAGGGGAGAGAGGAGGGTTAGCAAGAGGTGACCTGGGGGTCTGGGCGGTATTGGATCTGGGGCTGCATCTGGCCCGGCCTCAGGCGAAACAGGAAGAGAAGGCGGCTCCTTCCCCAAGCTTCCATTAAACCCCATTAATAGCCTGGCACTGGGCGAGCCCCCTCCCTAAGGTGTGCGGGCTCCCCACGGCCCACCCACACCATCGTCACACCCCGGGTGGGTGCCCTGCCGCCCTGGATCCCACAGCTGCTCACTCTCGTGCCAAATCCTAAACTGCTTAATGTCTTAGCTCTTTCTAGAAACTCTCCTTTGATCACTTCTCTGTCTCTCAATAATAATAATAATAAAATAAAAGCAGGCAATCAAAACTCATCCATCCAGTCTCCCATTCTCTCAAGACTCTACTCACAGCCAGTTTATTCGATGGTCTCATCTGTGCTGGCGGATTAATGAATCATACGTCCCAGGCATAAGCAGACCCGTTTGAACAGGGTCCTTCCGTGGCCAAGGCCAGACCTGACACACGGCCCTGACGCTCTGACTGGAGACGCTGCAGCAAGAGGACGGGCACAACACTTGAGGACAGAAAGGTCTCGGAACAGGTGCTAGGCGCTCCGGCCCGGCCTCCGTGCAGTAAAGCTTCACTCACTGAACCCCAGTGGCGGGTCGGGCAGCGCTAAATGTTGTGCGATTCTTAGCTCCCAATCCTCAGGCTGCCCTGCGAGGTGGGTATTGGGCAGGTATTGTCCCATCTTACAGATGTGGAAGTGGAGGCGTGGGGCGAGCAGGCAGGCTGCATCCTATGCATCTGGGATCCCTCATTCCACAGTGCTCTGATGCCATCAGGAAGCAACTGAGCCTGGCGGAAACTCGGTTTCAGACTGGGAAGTGATTCAACCTCTCTGAGCCTCCAACTGTACATGGAGCAGTCGTATCAGCGCTGAAGGCTGCACTGCCCGCCCCATCTCCCAGCCCCCCAGTTCCCGCACACACCACTGGCTTCTCCTGCAGGCGCTTCTCCCCCCGGGGCTTTCTCTGGCAGGCTGACTGCAAGTGCCAGCGTCCCTGCTCCCAGGGGCCGCACTGAACCAAAGACGGGGAGGGGCTGGGCGATAACTACTGGCTGCCTCGCTCCCCCAGGGCACAGCTGTGCCCTACACAGCCTCCCAGAGGTCCCGGAGGGACCGCGCCCAGGGCCTACCCGGAAACCTGCTCATTAAGGCACCTGTGCTGGCTCAGTCTCCCCTTCCCTGCCGCTGGAGCAGCTGCCGGAGCCCTCCTGCCGTGTGGCAGCTCCCGACTCCCACCTTTACTGCCCTAAGGTCTCCGCTCTCTTCCCAGCCCGCTCAGCCTTGTCCCCCTCCCTCCCAGATGTCCCAAGGGGTCTTTTGCCTCCCGCCCCCCCCAGTCCCACTCAGGTCCCGTGCCCCCTGAACCACTTTTCCCAGAGAAGAGAAGCAACCAACACCTGACAGCCAGCTCCAACGCTCAGAGCCGGACAGGGCCCTCGGGATCATGTTCCCCTTCTCCTGGGTGACGGGGAAACAGAGGTCCGGGAGGGGCAGGGAGCAGCCTGCCTTGCAGCAAGCAGAGTGGGGCCAGCAAGGTCTAGAAGGAGGCCTTAGCCTGAGTCCTGTCACCACAGCCCTCAGCAGGGACAGCCTGTCGGGCAACTTGGCCCCACAGTGAGCAAACCCCACTGCCATGCCCCCACCGTGAGGTGGGAGCCAAAGACCAACAGACAGAGGCCGCAGCAGCAGCCTGGGGCCAACACGCAGTGTCCCCTGATGCCTGGGGAGGCCCCAGGTCATGTTCACAGGTCACCCCGCTCCAGTTGCTGGCAGATTCCCAGCAATGCCCCAGAGGGGAGTCCCAGACGGCTCCTGGGGAACGTCCGCCCTTCCCCACAGTCTGCACATCCAGGGGCCTGTCCCCACAGGCAGCCACCCCAGCTAGCCTTCACCCCCCAGCCAGCCCCAGCGGCCCCTCCACGGGACCAGATCTGTGCCCAGCCAGCGGTTACTTTGGAAACCATCTGATAACCTCGCAGCGCACAGCGGTCTCGCAGCGCACAGCGGTCTCGCAGCGCACAGCGGTGCGTGGGACGCAGCGGTGCCCAGGCGGCTCTGAGCAGGGGCCGCAGGGGCCACTGTGAGATGGGACTCGCACACACAGCCACCGCACTGCGGCCGCTGACTCCTACCTCGCCTGGCCTCCCATCCTGGAGTGCACTGGGTTTGGGGTCAGGGACACCTGTCTTGATTTAAACAAAGGACACAATGCCTTAACGTCAAAGTTGGCAAGTGACAAAGTGGGGGTGGGGCGGGGGGGGGTCTGTCCTCGAGTCTAACGAAATTCTGTGACTACATAAACTCCTAGAACGGACAAGCTGGAAAGGACCTCAGCGCTCCGCTTCCCAACTCCTTCGCAAATCCAGAACGTGAGACTCAGAGAGACTCTGAGACCTGGGGGTCCAGGTCTCCTCCAAGTTTGGGTCTAGAACTCTGGTTCCGTCATGTCTCGGCCAGTGAGAAAGAGAGCCTGGATTTCATCCTAGGCATGCGTGTGCGTGTGTGTGCGTGCGCGCGCGAGAGAGGGGCCTTGTCTTCCTGGTACTGCCCGCTTCCCAGCCCAGCCACAGGCACACAGCTCGACTACAAAACGGGATCCAGCCACCTGGTTTCTGTGACTCCCTGCCCAGGGACCTCAGGACCCAAACTGAGTCCGGGGACACGCATCACCCTGGCGACCAGCACCCAAGGTAAACGCAAACCCTTCTCCTCCTATATGCTGAAATCATTCTTATCATCCTTCCAGACCATTCCTACGCTTCTTGCTCGATTTTGCCATTCCTGGACGCTGACTGACAACCATTTCCTCCCCTCTCTCCTGGGCTCCCTCTGGCCTGAAGCGTGCAGCCGTTGACCCACTGGACAGCACCCAGCACGCCCCGGGCTGCAACAGCACGGGCGTCTGTCTCTCACGCCGGCCGTGTGCTCCTGCCACCTCTGCCACAGGCCAGCCTAGCCCCTGACCGAGAGCAGTGGCCTGCCACCGTGGAGGAAGAAAGCTCAAAGGAAGGGCCAGACCGGTGAGCAGAGCTCTCGTCTCCCCGCCTGGATGCTGCGTGGTCACTCTCGGGGAGGGCCCACTTCCTCTTAGCGGTGGCGTGGGATGGTTAAGGGCATGGACTCTGCAGTCAGACAAGCTGTGTTCACCTCTCAGCTCGGGGCAGGTGACTTGCCTTCCTCGTGCCTCAGTTTCCTCATCTGTAAAGTGGGGCTAAAAATGGTTCAGGGCTGCTGTGGGGATTAGACATGTGGAGCACGTGGAACCTAGTCCAGCTCGGCGGTGAGTCCGTCATTGTCGGCCTGGTGTTAGCAGAGTGGTCACTCTCCTCGTAGATGCTTCTTGTGATGAGGGCAGCACAAGCCACCTCCGCCCCTGCTGGTCCAGGTAAGCCCACCCCAAGGCACACTCCCAGCGCGCCCTGCAGTGCTGTTCACTCCCCAGCTCCTCCTCAGCCTCCCTCCCTTCCCCCATCTCAGCCTGGAGGACCCTCTGCCCCTCACCCACGTCCCTCCCCTTGTCCACACTTGCCCCAACCATCCCCCACCCCAGATGCCTGTCCCGACAGACTGGGCCTTCTCCCGCGGCCTTGAAATGGGGCGTCAGCCCAGGAACCAAGGGCCCCACACTTCCTGGGGCTCGCCCCAGCCCTGGTGTAAAAAGGCAGGTTCGTGGGCCCCGTCCCGGAGTCTGGTTTTGTAGGTCTGAAGCAGGGCCCCAGAAGCCCTGTGTAAACAGGCGCCCACCTGTCCCTGCATGTGTCTCTGATGGCAGCTGTCCCAAAGCACATGTTAGACACCTTAGGGCCTCGGCTTCTGCCATTGCAAATCAAAGACAACAATAGACACAGGTGCGGCACCTGCAGGCTCTCAAGCTAAAGCACCTTCCCAGCGATCCCCCCCCTGAACCCGGGGACTCCCAGGCTCAGGCACAGGAGTGACCTGCCCACGGGCACACACCCAGCAGAAGCCTGGGCGAGGAAGCCGTGTCTTCCGCCCAAAGAAGGGCGGAGCCGTGACAGTGCAGATGAGCCCTGACCACAAGTGCTTTTCCTCCACCTTCTGTCTTTGCAGAGCTCAAAGGGAAATTTTTTCCAATAGGCAAAATGTATTTTTTCCCCAAAAGAACACACAACCCTTCCGCCGTCTGCACAGCAGCCTGGAGCTTGGCTTCTTTTGTTCCTTAAATCAAGGCCGGGGAAACAGAGCCCAGTGCCCTTCTCCCCCTGCTCGTCCTCAAGGAAGCATTTCCGACAGGGTGGCAGCGAGAAAACAACCCCTCACCCCTGGGCTCTGCGGTCACAAGTCTCCAAGGGCCAGCAAGGGGAGAAAGCGCTGGAGAGGAGGGGTGAGGGCCCCTGGCGGGTGCTAAGGGAGGGCCTTCGGGTGCCACCTCCCATCTGACATGCTTAAGAAAGGGGCGACAGCCCCGACCTGGGGGAGCCCCAGGCTGAGGGGAGACACGGCCCTGTCCCCAGGCTGCGCTGAGGCGCCAGGTGCACTGACTGTCACACATTCCTTGTCTCTAGACAAAGCCCATAAGCGCTTCGACCTTGGCAGAGACTGTGGCCGCAGCACAGAAAGAGCCACATGTCCCTGGACCAGGGTCCTTAATGAGGACCCTGGTCCGTGAGGGTCACGGACTCTGGAACGGCAAGCAGCATATAGCGTGGGGGCACACATACATGGAGGCGCTCTTTTGCAGAGCTTTCATCAGATTCCCAAGGAAATTCATGAGGCGAAAAGGTGGTTTATCTTCTTCCCAACAACCTGCCCTAATCATCCCTCCAACCTGGGGCGAAAAGGGGGGTGCTGAGGGCACAACTTGGAGTTTCAGTTCTGCCCCTTACCGGCTGTGTGGCCTCAGGCAAGTGACTTAACTTCTCTGTGCTTCAGTACCCCCATCTGTAAAGAAGGGGGCAATAATC